ATCAAACTGAGCATTAACTGAACATTAACCCTTTGAACCCCAACCATTTGGTGTTCCTGTCACATTTTTGCTCACTGTAGTTTCATGTTTCACTGCGATATAGCTCCGGCATGTCCATGGAAACAGCACAGCCATGGCTAGTAGTGGAGAAAACTGAAAAAATGTATTTTGTGCAGGATATCAGAGATACAATTTCTATAAACCATAAAAAAAAGAACGTGACATTTCTTTATTTATTTAGCAAAAAATAATAATAAAAAACAACCTAGAGTCAGCATATTAAACAATATTGGCCCTAAATAGAGATATTTAAATTTGTAATTCGTTTCCATACTTGGCTCCTAGCTGTGATAACACAGCCTGCAGTTCAGCTGAAAACTCCCAGAATTTTTGTCACATGACTGGAAGCTGCAACTGATGGCTAATGGCAGCACTGAATCTTTTTTTTTTTTTTTTTTTACAAAGTATGGCTGAAAATGGTTATTTAAAGTGTTTTCTTTAAAAAAAAAATAAAAATAAAAAATAGAAGTAAGGAATAAACTGGTTTTGATAAAATATCAGTTTAAAGTTTAGATTTGGTTATGTTTCTCAACAGAATGGCACGTAACAGAAGATTGTCATGTGACAATTCTGCCAGATAAGTAGTGGAATGTTATCTTTTTTTTCCTAAAAGATGACATGCCTTTCAAATTCACCTGTGAGTTTTGTTTTTCAGAAGGTTAAAATGGAAAAACAAAAAATCCTCTCCTTTTCCTATTTATTTTTTAATTTATTTTTTTTGTATCTGACAAGAAAACATTGTGCTTCAGTAGTTTTAGTAGTTTATACATGAAGACTGCTTTGAATGATGTACTCCACTGCTAGCCTATGTAAAATTGATATAGAATAATATGATAGTATTATGGTTTTAAGGCTGTTGTGTTGTCGGTATGTCTGTGTTTATAACAGCAGCATGTGTTGTTGTGTGTGAGGTGTTGCTGCAGCCTCCTCCTGGGATGGAGACTCTCTGGGGGCTTGTCCGTTGTTATTTTGGGGGTCGAGGCTGAAAATTTTGGGAATCCCTCTTTAAACTGACTTGTGCTGTGTGATCCTTGTACAAGCACCGCTGTTTAACCTGAGTGTTGTTTTAACCATTTTCAGCTTCAGTGACTTACGTTTTTGTAAGTCTAAATGTTTTAGTCTTTAACCCTGTGGATCAAAGGCTCTTTTCGGGGAGATTTAATTACCTTTACTTTAAGGCTCTTGTATTGGTCATTATAAGGAGAAGCATGCTGTTGTACCTCGCTCTTTTTTTTTTAAATGAAATCACAAAAGTCCTGGCTATCCAAATCATTTCCATCATTTAGTGTAAAAATGCTTGAAGATTTTTTTTTATGTCAGACTTTAAATAAAAAATAAATATTTCGTATTATTTATTATGAAACTTGTGTTTTTACATGTACCTCACCATAAAATGCTGGCAGTACAGATGTTTGTCCATAATTGTCCATAATTAGCGGGAGATTGTCTGGAATTAGGCGATATCAGAACCATGATGGCAGGATACTGTACACTTAGAAATGATTAAATATGTGCTTAGTTCTTAACCGATATAACTGTCATTATTTTATTCACTGAAGTGCTCACACACAGTAGCCTCCCTGCAGAGGTGGCATACCAGGCAAATGTGAATTTCTATGCAAATGTACGTCCGTCGGGTTAAATGTCACAGCTGAAGATCTTCTGGTTGCTAGTGATGTATTTTAAAAGTCAGGTAATTCCTTTTTATTGAAGAATGTTCAATTATGGAAATAAGCTATAACATTACATGCCACTTAATTTGAAAGGCTTCTATTAAGCGACTGTTTCTTTGCTGACCCTGAATCAGCCGCAAACAGCTTCAAGGTTGAGTGCCGTCGTTTATGAGAGAAAGTGGTTTTGCTTGAAAGGACTGCGGGGAATACAAACACTGCCAGCGATGGTGTTTTACATTAGCACATTAACACATTTCAATCCTAAATGACTGGCAGGATGACGGATGCGAGAAAAATAAGGTCAAGGCGTAAAACAACCAGGAGATCCTTTCAGCAAAGATGCTTAATGACCCCTGTTCCTGCTCCAAGTCTTGCTTTCCACTGTTCCACATACGGAGCTGTAAGACCTTTTCAATAAAACATGCGTCTCTGAAACATTTACAACTCTTGTGTTTCCTGAAATGATAAATCCAAAACATCTTTGATGTTCGAGAGAAACGTACATGAAACTTAATGTTTTAATTCTCTGTAAGCCACAAGTTACAAGTGACTTATATTCTGGCAAAAAGCGATCTGCGCTGGAGCGAGGGGGGGCGGGGAGGCGGACCGGGGCAGAGCCTTGTTGTTGAGCAGCATATTTTATTTTCTCTCCCAGAGGTTTAGAGGAGCTGTTACACTCTGGAGTTTTAGTGGAGGTCACAAGGTTATTATATAAACAATTCACACGGAGGCCCTCAAGCACCCAGAGGGAATGTTTAATGCAATGCTCACTATTTCTTGAATGTAGTAATGCTCAAGACGCAGACGTGTCCAATTTTAACCATGCTGCATTATCTCTCTGTCTCCACTTCTTCTTCTTCTTGTTTTTTTTTTTTTTTTTTTTTTAATTTTGCCTGTTTTGTCGAGGCAACTGAAAACCACGCTTAATTAATTTGGTCAGCTGCCTTGGATAAACTACACTGATGACATCAATTAGATTCTAATGAAAACAGATAAAAGCCATGGAAAGCAAATGGAATTTCTGAACAGGACTCATCAAAGTCTTAGCATTGGAACAAATTCCCATTACGTCTCATAAAAGCCTTTAATTTGCAAAGCTCATGTCTGGTTTGGTACTTAGAAGTACATGGTCAAATGATTCAGTCTTAAGTCCTGTGCCGAGAGAAGCCAAATCAGAATTTAATTTGGCACGTAACTCCTTATCCTGTCTGAAACATGTGGCTGGATGCAATCCTTGGATTAGCATGGACTTCAGAACTACAAATTTGGCTTGTTTCTCTGCCTCTGGCAGAGCAAACACCTAGTCTAACTCGTTTGTAACACAACATTTACATTTCCAATCTCAAGAAGGAAAAAAAAAAAAACACACATGCTTACTCCAGATTAGTGCTTCTTAGTTAACCAAATTGCTGCAATTATGTGTGTCAATCCATTGACGTGAGAAAACAAGGCTCTGCTTCTTTGTCTCTCATACTCCCTTTCTCCCAATTGTAACAGTTTGACCTCTTTCACATGTCTGATTTGAATTTACAGTAGAGGACAGATTACAGTTCAGGAAAATTATTATGAAATCTTACATAATGAATTTAGCCGGTAATAATCCTAATTTCTCAGCATTTTTGTACAAATGCTGATTTTCGAAAAGCCGTGCCCCTTACTGTAGGTATAAGTTTAAAAAATTGTTGTACCTTTGCCAAATTTTCAGACAACTTAACCCTTAATTAACCCAGCTTTAAAGATGTTAATGCTATTGTCACATTTTTTGTTCACTGTGGTTGCTTTTTTTTTTTTTTTTTACTGCAACTTAATGGAAAGAACCGTCACTAGAAGACGAGAAAACTCAAAAATTGCTTTTCTGCAAGACCAAACTGTCACGATACCATAAATCACAGAAAGAAAAACACAAAAGTTGAATTTCTTTGATTATTTATTTGACAGAAATTGGAATCAACATATACAACATTTTTCCATGTGCCCATAGGTGTTTACCAATGCTAAATTAAAATGGTGAATGTACATACTATAGACATTTTACTACTTATATTTTTACAACCTCTACAAACTACGCGTTTTTCACATTCCTCTGTGCATTAACTCTAGAAAGATATTTCACCATGCTGACCTTGGCGACAACTTGCTCCTATATAAACCGTGAGTACACCACAAGAGAGACTGAGAGAAAAGCGAAACATACTTGACCAGTAAAATAAATGCAGCACGGCTCAGCGTCTGCTCTGCAGTTCAGCCGAAAGGTCACACATTTCTTTTGTCACTTCACTGTTGAACACAGTTAAGTTAGTCATGACTTTCTAGTTTAAGGTTAATTTTTCCAGTGGAACCACATGTTGCACAAAATTAGTTCAAGGACCATGGAGAAGTTTCAAATCTGACAATTCTTTCAATTTTTTCAGTTTCTGACACTGTTAATTGTGCGATTTTGACAATTTATTTGTTTTTTGCCCTTTCAACCTGCTGGTGTGTTTTGAGGTTCAGAGGATTAACAGGAATGTGAATATCTTAATAATCAATGTGATTATCTGCTTTTAATCAAGCCAAGTCACCTTTATTTATACAGCACATATAAAATAACAGACATTAAGTGTTTTTCAATAGAGGAAGGCCAAAAACATCATTCAGCCGTTAAACCCGACTCCATGCAGGACCCTCTGTAGAGCCGTTCATGTATTCAGCTCAGCAACCTTACTGGATGAATCAATTAGTTGTCAACCATTAATTAAATCGTCCTGATGTTGTTTGAGTTATTAAAAAACAGGAAACTCTAAATTCTCCGATTCCAGTTTCTTAAATGTGAATATTTTGTGGATTCTTTATTTATCTGTGACAGTAAACTGAATCTCTTTGGGTTGTGGACATAACGACATGATGTTGTGCTTCGGGAAACACTGATATTTCAACTGTTCAATTAATCGAGAAATTGACAGATTAATCAACAGTGAAGATAATCAGAAGTTGCAGGACTATTTCTTCCTGTACATTTGACCTTGTCTGTGCAGCTGCTAAACTCCAGATGTTTATATGACTCTCTTTATCCATAGATCTGCAACCTTTTACCTCTTCTTGTTGCTTTCTGCAGCTGTGACACTAGTTGATAAAGAAGTTTCATTTCTTTTGCGTGTTTATTCAGCAGTGCGGTGTCTCCTCTTTCAGAATGGTGACAGTTTGTCTGCAGAAAAAAGAGGAAGTATTTAATGAGCCGTTTTTGTTTTTCTTGGTGTGTGTGTTTATGTGCGTGTCTCTCCATCCCAGCGGACTACCCTCCCCCTCCACCACCTGCCGAAGACTCAGCCGGTTTCCCATCATCCCCCGGTTCCTTTCCTCCTCCACCGCCGGTGAACTCGTACGATTATCAGGTGAGAGAAGCTGCTGTTGTATTAAATTTTCTTGGTTGTCAGTAACTCTCTAAGAGTCAGCACAGAAAGCAAAAACAGCCCCGAGCGCTACACTGAGTTCATGTACCAAGTCCAGCAAAACTGTCTGTCCATTTGAGCTGCAGCCAACTGCAGAGACGTCCAGCTCCAGATGCTGCCTGGAGCCAGCCACTCTTAACTCATGGACCCACACACACTAACACGCTACATCTCTGAGAGCTCTTAATGCAGGAAGGATGGAAGGCTGACACCTATTGGTGAAGCCTGGTCACTTTCCTTTGCTTTGCTGGTCATAATACCCACAGGCATTTGGCCCTCCCGGGATATCTGGCCTCTGCGCTCTGACTGACACTCTCAGCACTTGACCTCTGCTGAGAAATCCTCCAAGTGCTTCACATTCCTTTGTTCAGTGTAAGCAGGAAGAAAAAAAATCTCCCTCTTCAAGCCCCTCATTTGATCTGACCAGTTTTCTTTCCTAAATGAATGCGTCCTTTGTAAGTTTGGAGACAGAATGTTGCATAATTTAAATAAGTTATGCAATGCGTGTAAATTCACCGCTCTTCCCACACATACTGTAAACATAGAGTATAAGACTGCACCCTTAGGAATAGCAGGATACATACGTTCACGCAGTGTTATGACCTTAATGTAAACTACAGGCACTCTAACAGCTATACTGGTATTTTAAAAGGTGCAGTGCAATGACACTCGGAGTTCTCAATCTCGTGGTTTTGTTTAACCAAGGGAATGTTAGACTGGGCCAACCAGCAGCGCTGCTCTCTCTTTACGTATTTAGAATTGGCAGAGCTCAGAAAAAGGAGACACACGAGCAGTTAGGAATGCAATAAGCTTTCAACAAAATTTACTTCTGCTATTAGAAATCTGTGGAAACATTTCAGGCTTCCACGGCAGCTCTTTCATTTTATGAAGTCAGATTGCAATAGCTATGTTTTCACAACATGCTTACCATTTCCACTTTTATTATACCGATTCTATTACCAGAGCTCCAAGTGTTGGCCAGTACTGAATACTGATCCCACAGGCTTTATGCAATATAAAGTCTATGTAGTATAAAGTGTGGGATTATTCCACTATGTGTACAGTAACATGAAGCTACCTATAAGTATAACTACATATTCTTTCTTAATTTTATTTGGAGACACTCGAGCATCATAATTAATTTTTTAAGCTAATGCTAAATCTTTTTTACTTTATAATGATGATTGTCATATCCACAGCCTTTGTTATATTTAAAAATATCTGTCTTGGTTCTGATAGTTGTGATTTACCAGCTACTAATATTTTACATTAAACTAGTCTGTGTAAAGTTATCAGATACTCTTAAAAGTTCTTTTATTTATGTTTAAGTGTACTGTATTCTCTGGGTAAAACTAACTTTTAAAATACCTAATGAATACACGGGTAATGATCTGAGTTCATGTCTGGTTGTACAAAACAGCAACAGGTTACCAACCAGTAGAAGCAAATCTTATTTACGAGTGACAAGTTGCGTTACCTCCATTTATGAAATTTCTGGTAAAAGATGGCAAGTAGTTTTCTACATTCATAAAAAGTAAGTTTCCCCCCATCAGTTAGAATTATGTATCTCCTATTCAGTAACTGATATTTTCACATTTGCTGATTCAGATTTTCACTATTAAAATTAGAGCAGATATTTTGCTTGTTAGAATCACTCCTTCTATCCAGACCACACCTTAGAACATCCCAGTGTACTTTCAGTGTAAGTGATATGGAAACAAAATCCAGAATTCTATACAAAAATGTAATTCAAGGTTCATCTAGGGCTGCAGGGTGGCGCAGTTGGTTAGCACTGTTGCCTCGCAGCAAGAAGGTTGGGGGCACCGGAATCTTTCTGCGTGGAGTTTGCATGTTCTCCCCGTGCAGCGTGGGTTCTCTCCGGGTTCTCCGGCTTCCTCCCACACAGTCCAAAAACATGTTGAGGTTAATTGGTGATTCTAAATTGTCCGTAGGTGTGAATGTGAGTGTGCTTGGTTGTCTGTCTCTAAGTGTGGCCCTGCGATGGACTGGCGACCTGTCCAGGGTGTCCCCTGCCTTCGCCCTAAGTCGGCTGGGATAGGCTCCAGCCCCCCCGCGACCCTAGTGAGGATTAAGCGGTGTATAGATAATGGATGGATGGAAGGTTCATCTAAAGTCAGTATGAGACTTCAGTAGTGGGAGATACACAAATGAAGTGAACATCTACCAAAATTACAAACAACGATTTTAGTGGTTTTTCTGTCAAGTATGTATTATGTCAGGATATCCTTTATCAGACAAAGCAGCGGAATCTTAGGTGACTGTGGCTTAATGACACAAAGGTAGCTTAGCTAACGAGTCAGGCCTTTGTCTTAAAAACGTTCTCTCTTTCTCTTCTGTCTGTATCTGCTGTCACTGTCAAGTTTGGACAAAAATAGAAGAAGAAAAAAAAACTTGAGGTAATCAAATGTAAAATTTATCCCTGCAAGCCAAAGGTCCAGGTTTCAGCCTGTTCTGAACACCAGTGATTTCAGTGTTACCTTTATAACTAATGGCTGTTCATTCTGTGTTGCTGAAGTTGTTCAGTAAACTGTTGGTATTGTCTACTCAAAAATTTTGGTTTAGATTCGAGCTCGAACATGTACAGATGGATTTGAGAAAATGTTGAGTAAAGAAGAAGAACAAGGAGTGACATCTGGATGTATTGTGCAAATTTTAAACAATTTCCTGAGTTTGCTACAATAACAACTCATACTTGAAAAAAAAAATTGTAAATGAATGAAGTACTGTAGTCATTGTTCCATTTCATTTACTGGTCAAACCATTTTTGGCTGACGATGTTTACCACAAAATTGGCTGGAATTTTAATAACAGATAAAGTAAACACCAGACTATTTGAATTATAAATTAAATCACAAAAAATAGTAACTTAAAATTGCTGTTTAATGATTGGCTCAGTAAATTCCACAGTTTTGAACACAGCAAACGAGCTACAGTCTTTCACAGTAAAATACCCGTAATTAATCATCAACATCTCTACTCACTTTTCAAGGTGCTGCGAAAATTCTACAAATATGAAACCTCTGTGGATTGAAAATTCATAATACACAGTAAACACCGACTTTGTTTGCAGTCTTCCTGTCCAACTGTTTACAGATGTTTCTTTCATAATGGGGGTCTACAGGGAAAAGCTTGTCGGGCCACAGGGGGATTGTAGTTGCAATACTACCAGTGGCCACTGGGGCTTTGACGCACCAGAAACAGCCTGACTGAGATTGAACTGAATGGCTGCATAAAGGTCCTGCAAAAGATAAGGAGTGTTTTGACCTGTAAATCATGCAAAGGTATGCCAATATATAAATGCAGACTTGGAAATTTGTATGACACATTAGTCCCCTTTAAATGTAGCAGCTCAAGTCTCATAGTCAATTTAAAACAATGTGAATATATTCTTTAAAGAAAATAAACAATTAAAAAAACCCTTTGAACTACGGAAAACTTGATATTCTTAGCAGGTGAAACACTGACATTTTGGAGATGCATGGTTTTGAGAGGGCAGCTACTGAACATTTTAACAAGCATATTTTGCGTAGGGCTGGTCCGAATAGCAATTTTTGATCTCCGGACATATATATATATATATTAAAGGCCTAAAATTACACAAGAAATTAAGTGGCCAATTAATTTTAAAAGTTCTTTCCTGCATTCGTCTCCACAGTAGCTTTTCTTTTCCTATCATACAGGCTGTAGAGTCATTCTGGCCTGCAACTTAATTCCTTAATACACCACTGGTATCTTAATTATGTCTCCTGTAGCCAGAGCAGAACACTTAAATTGTAGGCGCTGTTCAGAAAAAGGGATAGATACCAATCAAAATATCTTTTTCTCTGAGTCTGAGTAGAGAAATTTTACATACTGAATGAGTGATTAAATGGCTTTTTACACAGAAGAAGGCCTAAATAAGCTCAAGCCTGTATCACCCTTGCGTATATAGACATCTGGATTATGACATGTAAAGGCAGAAACCTCTCATTGTGGCTGTTGTCCACATTAAAAAGCCCTATATGGCAAATTCCTACTTAACACAAAGACTGCAATGTTTCCTTTCATCCTCCTTGTTATCACCGTTAAACAAGTTTGCCTGTTTTTTTTCTTTTGTTGATTTGAGACAAGCCATTAGTGTTTTGCTTTGTTTACCCCTGCTCATGATTGCCTTAGATGTTTTTAAGCAGCAGCTCTGCTCCAAATGGAGGCAAACCCTGCCTGTAATAGATTGTGACAGGTAATCCAAACACATAACATTAGAATAAGAAGCAGTCACTGATCCAGCCAACTCAAAAAGCCCCCGCAGGCAATTGCAAGAAGTCTTCTTGCTGTTGCAGCATAGTTCAGAAGACTAAAAATATATCTGTCATTCCGTGGAGAAATTCCCGGGAATTTAGTAGAAAACAGAGGGTCACTAACGGTCAGATGATTTTAACTACTTTCCAGATTTTTGTGCAACAGTTTTGTTTTTCGTTTGCTGAAATATTTTGTGTATTTAATATCTTAAGGTTGTATTTTTCTCGTGAGGTGAGACAGAAAAAATGTAGATGAATAAATCAGTGACTGCTGCTGGAGTGATCCTGTTACTGATGCTTTCATGCTTCCTCTGATAATAAACGAGTTAAATAAAAATTGCAGCAATTCTTATCATCCTTTATAGAGCATGTTTAAAATATGGATTAAAAAAATATCTGACTTTAATTTTAAAGAATTGACCTTTTTGTTTGAAATACCGCTGGATGAGATTGTGATGAATAATACATGAAGAATGAGATACTGTAAATCCAAGAGCAATGAAAAGCAGGAGGTGAATAGTGCAGCACGTTAAGAAAGTTGTCTTTCAGACAATACATTGCTTCTTATTTCTAACCACATTTCTCTCTGGGAGAAGTCTCTGCTATTGATGTGTGGCTTTCAGAAGGATTGTCTGAGGTCAAGGTGAAACATGAACTTAGAAACTGTAATCCAAAGTTTAAAAAGTGTGGAGAGAAAAAGCAGGAGAGAATATCTCAGAGCAGCACAGAGTCAGAATTGCTCGTCATTGATGATGATTGAGAGAAGCCAGTTAAAGTGACTGTACCCTTTCAACCTGAACTGTTTCCTCCCTTTTCACCTTTTTATGAAGGGGATCAAACATGGCACACTTGGGTCTACCAAGTAGCATAAATAGCTACAATGGAGACACCGCTGAGTAGTACTATGACTAAGTTGGATGTGGCATTGTGGTGTTATATTATATATTTCAGTTATATTAGATTTGGTCGACTTATGTTTTAGATTTTTTGAGGACAGGTTCAGTAGCATCAGTGTCACAAAGTAGTTATTCACGGGATCGTTTTTCGAGTATTCATGTCGCCCAAGTCAAACTATTAATAAAAATTTAAACTGCGCAGAGAGACAGTCCATGGCACGAGTGTAAAACATTTCTAAAGCTTTGAATGTTTCCAGAAGCACAGCAGCCTCACTAAAGCCTTTTTCAGACTTAGAATATGTAACATCGCAGTTTTGTCAGTTTGTTGAAGTGATGGCATTCTGTCATTCAGACATAGATCACTTTTACGTAACTTTCTTGTTTGTTCTTTATGGCTTCATTCACACCTGCAATATTTGTCATACAAACGAGACTGGAAGGTACGTCATGGGATATGTGTTATGTACTAATAGGAAATGAAGACACAGGTTGTGTCTGAAATCATCCACTCACTCCCTACTCCCTATGTAGGGACCACTATGTAGTGAAATATGTAGGGAGAACCTCGGCAAAGTAACATTTTGGACACTACTCGAGCTATTAATTTCGTCGCTCGATTTGTGCCGTAGCAGTGTTGTGCAAACACATCAAATTTACAGTTTATGGAGTGCTGCTGTAGCTCACATGGTTGAGCTGGTGTCCCATGTGCAGGGCTACAGTCCTGATGTGGAGGTCATGAGTTCGAATCCCACTCATGGCCCTTTTCCACACGTCCTCCCACCATTCTTTTCCCCCACTTTCCTCACTCTCTCTCACTGCTCTATTCAATAAAGGCACAAAGGGAAAAAAAATAACTTAAAAATAATAATAATAATAATAACAATAATGATTAAAAAAAAGCAGTTTATTGCATAGTTAAGAAATGGGTAAAATAAAATTTGACAAAACAAACAGGAAATTACTAACTTTTTTATGTAGTTTTGTCACTCTCATTTGTCTAGTTTGCGTTTCCTTTCATGCAATGCATGATGGTACATATTGCATGGTTAGTGACATCAGCTGTTCACTACTTTTCACGGTGCATTGTAGGATATTTTGATTGCACTATAGAGGGTGTAACATTTGTAACTTAACATTCACACAGCACTACAAAATGGCGAACACCCTATATAGTGTACCATGTAAGGTATGAGTGGGTGATTTCGGACAGAGCCACAATCTAAACGAATAGCAAGCTTTCTTAATTGTCCAAATAAGTAAAAGCCTCTTTTATTTATGATTTCTTCAGCACTGAAAATGCCGTCCATCTAACTCCTGCTGTACCAACAATCGAGTAAAAATATCCCTGCAGCTGTGATGGAGCTCAGAACTCTACATACCGCTATGTCACAACTATCTTAACTGCAGCTCATAAAATGTGACTCTGTATGACAGCGCAACTGTCTCAATGTGAAAAAAAACATTACAGCATCACCTGCTGTTAGATCCTGATCAATCATGTCATCATGTTGGAGATTATTTATAATTCTAAGTAATTAATTAAGTTACTTGTGCTTTGCTGTGTGTAAATGAGCACAACTTTCTCTTGCTTTGGAGACGCTCGTGTAGATCCTGCTGCTGTCTGATGCTGCAGGTATTAAATAAACTCAGAGAAAAGACTCCTACAAATGACTGGAAGCAACTAAACTTAAGCTCGTAGTAACATTTTGTCAAAACCTAGATGACATTAGAGATCGGTAAATCTTATTAATCTGATGTCTCAAAGACTCTGTCTCCATCGCAGTAAATCTAAATGTTTCACATCGTAATAGATATGAATGTAAGGCAAAGTGAATGAGAAGATTTTTCTTTAAATTAGGCCACAATATTGGTGCTGAAAAAGTTTCTTCCAAATCACTTGGCTCACGTCACATGGTTTAAAGTAAGTTGCATGTGTGTACCTGTCTCCTATTACGAGTTCATTCAGTTCAGCCGCATTGAAAGTCATACAGGAATGTTACAGGACTGTCTAAACCAGTGCGACTGCCACCCTGACTGTTCCAAAAAGTGCTCAGGGTGCTCATTCAGACATGGAGCAGATGCTGTGAAATTTACAGAAAGAAGTGCACGTTTGAAAATGTTGAAATGAAAGTTTAATACCGCCATGATTCAGTTTTATTTTAATTATGTAGCACCAAACCAGAACATACAGCATGTCATCTTAGGGCACCATTTATAGTAAGGTCAAGTTTTTACAATGTTATAGAGAGAAAGGCAACAGCCTCTCCTTGAGTTGGCTTCTGAGCCCAACTGTGTAACTGTGCAAAAAGGGCCTTGATGATGTAGAGTGAAGACACGCCAGTCGCTTAGAAGATATTATTATTAAATGGCATTTATATAGCACTTTTTAAAAACAGTGTTAGAAAGTGTTTTACAAATAAATTAAAATAAAATTGGTCTAAGCAGATACAAGGACCATGAACCCAGAAGAAGTACAGACTATGTAGGAATAAATGTAAGATTATAATAAAACTACAGAAAAGAGACGTAGGAACCTGCCGCAAAGACGGTAGAGTCGGAAGCCACTCTTTTGCAAAAGCCGGATGCCAATCTAGTTCTCTGATAGCTGGAGGAAAGACATTCCCTAATTTGATGACTTTGAAACGTAAGGTGTTCTAGCACTGAATCTGGTGAATACTCAGCACTGTTCTTCACCTGCTAATACTGTACTGTCCTGGCAGTGAAGCATGGTGGTGGCAGCATCATGCTATGGAGAAATTTTTCAGCAGCAGAAACAGGGAGACTGGTTAGAGTTGAGTGGCCTTGCTTATATCCTGGCGTTGTCTGCATACTTTTGTAAATGAGAGATTTCAGTTTTTGATTTTAAAGTGTCCATATTACACTTTTTCAGTTTTTCCCTTTCCTTCAGTGTGTTATGTATCAGTTTTTGGTTCTGCAAACTTGCTAAGCCCAAACTCTACACTGAGCAGATCCCCAAAAAATAAAATAACATTTTTAATATGCACCCTTTAGGTAAATTGTATCCCTCCCAGTTAGACTGTGGACTGTATCTATTTACAGGTAAATGTACAACACAGTAAAATGTGCACAAAGTGAAGGTCTGACTACTGTCTGTATGGGATGTTTGCTCACAGATGAAAGGACCAGAGAAAACCCTGGAAGAGAGGCGCTCCAGTCTGGATGCAGAGATCGACTCCCTCACCAGCATCTTGGCAGACTTGGAGAGCAGCTCGCCTTACAAGCCACGAAGCGCACAAGTATGTCACCAGCACAACTTTACACCTGTGCACATACATGTAATGTAGACTGACATTCAGTGGTGGAAAGTGACAATGTCATCTCTAAGTATAACTGTACGGCACCTCTGCTACTTTTTAAGAGACCAAACATTGCACTTTTTCCTCTATTACTCTGACAGCTGTAGTGTCTGTTTGCATTTCAGAATAAAGGAGCAGTCCACCAATTTACATAACATTTTGCTAAGAATACTTAAGTAGGATTTTAAATTCAAGACTAACATTTGCATACAGACAGTTTTTCATTATTTAATTAATACTTTTACCTAAATAAAGGTTAAGAGATCATCTTTCATTCTAACATTCAGTAGCAACTCTAGAAAATGATACACTTAGCTTTTAAACATACATTGCTATGTGAAGATTGCCACTAGGCCAAAACATGAAAAGAAAAATTGAATGAAGAGTCTTAAACCACTGAGTGATTTTGTACATTACATTCCTGCAGGAAACAGACCCATATGTTGCATCCTTTTTTTTAAAAAATGCAATAATGACAAAATGAGTCTTGACCTATATCATTAGTTGATATTAAATGATATTAAGAGCAACTCCAAAAAGTCAAAGCCTTGGGCAGTTCACTAAATTGTTTGACACACAATAAATGTAGGACAAGCGGATAAAAAAACCCTAACCAATTGTGTTTGGAGTAGAAAGGCTCAGTGGGGTTTGTAACACCACGCAGATCATATCTCTAGTGAGATATTCGAGCAAAAATGTAATACCTGAAAGGGCTGTGAGGGCTACATACGCGACGGAGATGTGGCTGCTCTGAAGTTAAGAAAATCCTGAAGGTGTTACAGGGTTTATTCTGAGGATTATTTACTGTGTAGTTGCCATGTCTGCGTGCTGTTTGCTTTATTTATTTATTGAAGGATGCATACATAAGACTGAAAGCAGGGTTAAGATGGTAAATTATTGACAGAGGTATTCATTTAGTCACAAATGAGGGACTGTGCCCTTATACAAGATGTACATCTATACATCCGTTGACCTTTTGTGTGAGTGCATATCTATGCGCAGTAGCAAAATTAAAATGTAACCTGCTATGATTATGGAAAATCACACATGACAAAGCTGGGTGTACAAGTTGCCTGAGAAACATGGTATTTTGGGGGAAGCGTGCAGTGTGGCAAAGACAGACAAAAGACTGCTGGTTGCAAGTGCTGACGTCCTTCGGTTTAGCGACTCCTGGCTCTCTGGTTAGAGGGAGGAAAATGGCTGTACTACACACAAAGTTAAAATTATTGCACCACACAGGGGAAACATAGCGGATACTGAGAGAAAGGAAGTGTACACTGTGGTTCTGAAATGATACACATTAAAGGCAATAAGTAAAATACGACTTGATGATTTCTAGTATGCTTAGTGTTGTGGTGAACAAGTGTGTTCATGTGTGCTGATGTTAAATGGAAAACTGTAATAACATGAAATTATGGGCTCATAAAATATGATGAGATGCCCTTTTGACAAATCTCTGTCTTTTGTTTGGTGCAGAGAAGGTAATACAGGGTCGACCAACAGTCTGCGTAGATTAGGGCCTCACACATCAGCTTGCACATCAGTTTTTGCTTCTCTGCTCTGTGTTGATTCCTTGTGTAATCATAGCACTCGCTCAAATAGTGTGTCACCAATATTTTATAGATAATTCTAGACTTCAGTCAAGTTTTCATTCAAATGTAACACAAATTATAACAGGATTTCCAGAAAATCTGCAAAAGAAAAGGCAGATTTATGTGTATTTCTTTTTTCTACTATTCTAGGAATATTAGAGTATAGCATCAAGATAAATAACTTAAGGTAGTACAGTAATTACCTGCTGCAGAAGAAGATGACGTAATTAAAAGAGCCCTAGTTATCTTTAGAAAAACAGCAATGTGGATGGAAATGTGGCATTTCTGAAAGGGCCAATGAGGAGACAGCAACCCTCCTTAAATTAACACATTTTTATTCAATATAACACTTAAATCTCATGTTTTCGTCCACATTTTTGAGGTGAGACACTATAGGGAAAAACATGGTTTGTTCATGCACTGGTCAGCTGAGATTGATTTATTTTTCTTCTATAACATGTGATCTTTCAGACCAGTGGAAAGAAAACATCTAAAATACATGTACATAAAGTGCTTCATTCTTAGCCAGATTCATACAGCATTTTATTCCTAAAAGGATTGTGAACATAGCTTTTTATATTGGATGTTGAAATTATTTTCCGGTTTATAGAGTGATAGAGACTCATAATCTTCTCCATTCAACCTTGGAGTGTTTAGCTGACTCTACCCAATGTTCAGATTTCTGTTCTGGAAATTAGTGCAAATAGTCCTTTTTGATGGAGTAGGAAAACTCATAATACAAAAAAGAAGGATTTTACTGAAAGTAAGTCACTTGGTTTGGAATCTTTTGTTATTATTATAATATTCAGCTGATATTCCACTTCGTGTGAAATCTTTGTTTTGATAAACTTTTTTAAAAATTTGTAGTTTTTGTACTCATTTTTAATGTAAAAATTGAAAATATGCATAAAAAACAACGAATGGAAACTTTTTTTTACGTTCTTTGGCTCATCGCCTACATCTGGTGGATGGATGGCAAGTTTGACATTTTGGGAAACGTGCTTATTGGCTTTTAGAGTTGGATGGAAGGATCAACTACTGACCACTGAAGGCACTAACGCTGATTGTTTTTTGTGATATTAAGGAACAATCACTGATAATCAGCAAAAGTGTCTGTGCTTCTCAGTTTAAAGCAAACTATTTTTGATCCCTTTTCCATCTGCCATTCTGATAAAACCCTGCGTCTCTTTGCTCTGTGTGCTGGTGTTCGTGGCATCTGGTTGCATTGTGTTCTGGCTCTTCTGCTGCTTGTTTCCAACTGGAGTGTTTGGGAATCCTTGGTCCATGAGCTACGTGTGACCTCGACTCTTTTTCACTCTCCCTTATTTTTACACACCGGGTCTAATTTTGTTGGACTGGCTCATGACTCTGTGGCCTGAAATTCACTTGTGAATTATTAATAGTTGACTTACTGACATTATCCTAACAAATACACAGCAACATTAGTTTCTTTACGAGAGGGCTCCCTGCCTGGTGCCCCTGCCGTCACATTTACTGTGGTTAGAGTATATTAAGATTAAAAAACGAGCGACAACAGCCACCAGCCTTGTTCACCCTGAGGTAATCTGTGATCTCTGGTAATGACAATATGATATGTGGATAGGAGTAATGGGAGTTAGCTTAGCGTAAGGACCATCTGAAGATACTGAAATACACCCACCAGCACCTGCACAGTTCAATACCTTAATGTCTTGTTTCTTTAATCTGTCCAAAAATCAATACATGGAACCAAGCTAGCTCTTTCCACCTGTTGTCAGTGTGTACGTTAACCTAAGCTAACCTAAGCTAAACTAAACTAAACTAAACTAAACTAAACTAAACTAAACTAACTGCCTGTAGCTCCATATTGAAAATAGTAACAGTGCTATCAATCTCCTCATCTAACTCATAGGGGGGAAAAAAGTATTTCCCAAAATGTTGAACTGTTCCTTTAACCCTCTGATCCCTCAGCAGTGTCTGGGTGTTTTTGCTCCTGTCACATTTGAACTCATTGTGGGCTCATGTTTTACCGCAATTTAAAATCCAGTACTTCTGTGGAAACAGCACAGCAATGGTTAGAAGTAGAAAGAACTTAAACATTTCTTTTGTACAATACGACTGATTTAAAATGTCATAACTCATTAAAAAATTAAAGTGAAAGTTTTTTGGATTATTTATTTTACAATAAAACAAAAAAAATGGTGAATCCACATACTAGAGATATTTTACTTATCAAATATTTGATTTTGGTTTAATAGTTGGTTGTCGCTGATACCTAATATGGTTAATTTTTTTGTACATTTTTGAATGACACGTAGGATAAAGTGATTTTGATGAAATATGATAATATTAAGCGTGCCATTTTCCCCATGGAGCCACACGTCACACATGATTAGTTCAATGACCGTTGGATTTTTGAAAGTCCAACTATTTTTTTTTTTTTTTTTCTTTCGCTTGCTCTGGTAAATGGTGTCGTTTTTTTCCCCTGTATGGTAACATTCCTTTCAAACCAGTTGACAGGTTTTGGGGTTTGGAGAGTCAACAGTAGAGAAAACAAAATAAAACAAGAATATTTTTTTTGTTATTCCTGTGTGCTGTCTGTGTACAGTATAAAATATATATCCTCTGTGTACCGTTAGTTGTCAGTGTTACAAGGTCATGAATTTTAACGCTGTGTGTGGAGAACACAATGCGAAAGCGTCTATTTCTATTATTTTCTTTCCTATAAAAACACACATACAAGTATTTGTATACATACAAACAGTGAGTAGGAGCCTACACACACACATGGAACATAAGGACACAAACACTTCTTTGAAATGTGGGTCTTCACCAGCTGCTGTGCGTTTTTTTTTTTTTTTTCCTAAATAAAATATAGTAAGAGTGCATACCTTTGTTGGGGAAAAACATGTGCAGTATATATTAGAGCAGGAGTCTGAAAGCTTTTGTCAACATGACTTGAAAAATTGATGTGCACCTGTACAGCTCTGGGAGAGTCCAGCTTCTGAATGTCGTACTAACTAATGTATGGCTGTCGTGATGGCTCTACCTGTCAGGGTCAAAGTCGCCGCACGTTTATTTTTATCATAACCTGCTGCAAGCTTTCGGGGTTATGGGTGAGAAGCCACGCCACCTGTGTCTCGGCAGAGTGCACATTCATGCTCTGACATGTATTAATCATGAAATGTTATGTATCAGACATTTTGTTGACTTAACCCTGCTTCCCCAACATCTCTGTGCTATCATGGTGCCCTTTTGCTGCTTCTGTGTCTTCTATCCCAGCTTTTTGCATTTGGAGAAGATTTTGCTGTCTGTTTGATTGTTTATTTTCCAGTGTTCCAAACACACACACGCTCTTCTCAGCTGATG